GGGCCCCGACTAAAGTTGATAACTAGCTCGCCTAGGGACAGGGCGCCTTTCAGCTTTGCATGGCTCACAGCATTTTCCAACTCTCGGGCGAGTCGGTGTCTTGGATCCCAAAAGTGGATCATGCGGACTCGGACGTGGTTCTGCAAGAACTGTAAGCAGCTCATTACGTCCGGCCCAGCGTCCGCATTGAAACACAGCACGGGCATCTCCAGGCGACCTTCCGGGTCTGGGGCTGTGAACTCCAGCAGGCTTGCTGCACTCGGACACATGCTCTGCAACGTCTGCTCCAGCGCCACCACCTGCTCGAAAGAAGGCAACCGCTGCTTCTTCTCGACCACAGGCGCCACAGCCTCGGACGACAGAGCATTGTCTCGGGCACGCAAGCTCAGCAGATACCCTCGGGTCTTGGAGTCCAGCCTCCCCTGCTCCTCGGGAGTGGGCTCGGACGTGACAGCCCTGTACCCAGAATCCCTCAGAATCAGCGGTGGCCCCCATGCTGCCAACCCAGTGTGGCTGTCCAGGATCGCATAGTACGACCTCTTCTTGCCTCCGACTCGGGACGCATCGAAGGCAATGTGCAACGTCTTCGCCGATCCAAGCACCCGCCTGCAGGACATCCAATACTGGAACCGTTCTCGGACGCGCTGCCTGGCCTTCACCATCGACCGAGCTCGGACCTTCTGCACCTTCAGGTTGGTCTTGGCTCGGGCGGACAGCTTGGCATCGGCGGGGCCTCGGACGACGCGGGCTGCTCGCACTCTGGCCATTCGGACGGCAGGATCACGCATGTCTGGCTTGTCGCTGCTGTCGAAAATGGAGTCCTGGCAGGGATCCTCCCCGAAGTCGGAGGCCAGAACACCAGCATCCACTGCCCCGGACAAGCCTTTCAAGACGTCTGCTCGAAGCCACCGCAGGGCCTTCGTCCTCCAGAGTTGCTTGAGCACCTCGTGCACGGGCTGGGTCTTCCTGGACTTCATGGGCACAGTCTTCTTGGAGCCCCGCATCCGCTCTTTGTAGCAGGTCCTCTCGGTCAACTCGGACAATGTGACATTGCCGTGTCGGATGACCAGAGAAGCTGCCTCGGACGCGACCCGAACCCTCCACTTCTCCGGCAACAACCTCTGAAGGAACAGGGGGAGCAATGTCGTGGTCTCATCAGAGTAGACGTACAACATATGCAGCAGAAAGCAGAGAAACAACGTGCTGACGAACAGATCATGAGCCGTGTCCTCCGTTTCGCCTTGTCCCGTCTCCTTGCAGTGAGGCGGCCAGAGCACGTGCCCTCTCCCGCTTTCCAGCTGGAGCTCGGACACAAAGGCTGGCAGCCAGAACCGTCGCAGCTTGCCCATAATCGTCTGTCGTGGCTTTCGGATAAAGGAAGCAAGCCGCCAGAAATGCCTACAGGGTCCTCGGGCTTGCAGAATGGAGACTGGTTTCTCCGTTTGGAGTGCGGTTGACAAATCAGTCTGCAACAGTCTTCTTCCAAGGAGGAAGCTTTTCAGCCATTGCGACTGGGTTCCTGTCTCTGTGCGGGTAATAACGAAAGGCTCCGTCTCCGACGAGCCCTCGGACGTGTCGCCCTCGCTGGAAGCACGTCTAAAAAGGTGATACTTCAAGAGCTTCGACAGCCACGTACTCTCCCCTGCCACTCGGACGAACGCGAAACCGGCAGCATTGAATTTCAATGTGACCTCGCCACGCAGCAACAATGTTTCCTTGGTCATATGATGCTCCAGAATCGTGATGTCGTTCCAAGTGGCAATGATTTTCAGGTGGCCCTCGTGCGGCTCTTGTTTGCAAGCGGCGAGTGCATTGGGATCATTTGGAGCCGGTTCGGCAGTCATGATGATTCTTACTTGTAGTGGACGAAAAAAGCAAAAAAAAAAAGGAATTGGGACAAGCAGGGATTGATTGACCTGCAATGCATTTGTCGGGTGGCAATACTAAATAATAGTAGTAATAGTAGTAAATAATTATAAGAAGAAGAAGTACTAAGGATACATAATAACGTGACAACAGTACAGTACTGATAATATTAATTAGTGACTGGGATTTCGTGCAGAGCGAGAGTTTTGAAGAGTTGTCGACGACCCCATACAGAGAGCTGTGGCCCTTTGAAACTTTGAGACTGTAACGGCAGCACGGATGTAGATGATGATTCATGATTATTGTTAATTCTGTATTTATTCTGACCCCATAGTCAAAGCAAGCCCCTGTGAGTTTGTAGGAAGACAGCCTAGTCTCGTTCAGCAAGTGTGGACATAGTTGTATATAATAACTAGTTGGGGTACAGAGGCAGCAGGTTACCCTGACATGTGCAGTTACCGTTGCGAGGAGAGGACTGCCAGGACCAAATAAACTCGCATGGCAGATTCTCAGAATTCAATCCGGAACAAAGGAAAGACTTCTTGACCCCGTGTGCCTGAAGTCGGCATCGAAGTTGTCCGATGGCAAGAACGCCCAGGCAGCAGGTACCTCGCAAGGATGGGACAGCATGGGTCGCGCAGGTCTGGAATTGAATTCAGGTGCAAGGCCAAACCCTTGTAACTTTTTGTCCAGCCAGGGTGTGTTGCTCGTGTCTTCGCAACGTCACTGACTGATGGCATGGAGGCTATGGAACCAAAATACGAAGCTACTCCAGAGCGGCCCACCGGTCTGGCCGGCTTCGTCGGGAGGGAACTCTTTCTTCTACAGCCCCACTGTCAGAAAGTTGGAACACCCAGATGCCTCCTCGGACGCATCAGATTTGAAAAGTGCCGTCGCCGTTCTCGGGAGGCTCGCCCTCGTTCTCCTCGAGTTCGGGGATCTCCTCATCTGCCTCGTCGTTCTCGCCCTTGTTGGAGGACTTGGGAGTGCTCGGACGCGACTTTGCCTTCGGCCCGGGCCCGGCACCGTTGCTTCCGGGCGAGAACAGCCGCCTCCGAGGCGTCTTGGGTGAGCCTGGGGACTCGGAAGTTTGAAGCCGCTTTCTCTTCCGAGACTGGGGCGTCTTGTTCGCTGTGGGACCCGGCTGCTGGCTTTTCTCGGACGCCTCGTTTGGAGTGGTGATCTTCTTCTTGGTAGGAGTCTCGGGGCCGCCGTCACACTCCTTCAGCACGAGGGGCCGACTCACCGCGAAGCGGTCTTGAATCTTCATCTCCTCCAGCAGCTGGCCCACAGCTCGGACGCACACTCCCCGCTTGATTGTGCATTTGGCCCACAGGAAGGGATCGGCCAAGACGGGGTCACCTCCTGCACAGAGCTCGGCCGGAAGCTTGACCTTGGTCTTGGCTCGGGCGGCGGATGTGACCAAGGTGTTGTCGACGAGGTTGAACTGCCCATCCGCGATCTTCTCGAGGCTCCAGTAGCTGTGCTCCGCCCAGAAGTCCTGTGTCTCAGTGACTGAGTTACGTACTAATACTAATTATTCTTGCTAAGTATTAATTAATTAATTAATTAATTAGGGGGATTCCACTCCCAGTTTCACACAACTTGTACCGCTCCAGTCCTTCAACGTCTTCTGCTCGGACACTCGGAAGGTGGACCCTCGGGCGCCGAGTAACTCGTACCGCTCCTTGAGCTTCCTCGTCAGTCGCCCAAGGCTCTTGCACGGCAGAGCACTCGCAGGGTCCATCCCACAGAGGTATCCCAGCACGCTGGCCACATCCAGCCTCGACAAGGACTTCTGCCTCCCGCCGTCCTCGGGCGCCGGCTGCACCGTTGTCGTGCTCAGCCACTCGGACAGGCCGCTGTTGAGCTCGGACAGTATGCCCAGACTGACCTCCTTGCTCAACAGCTTCACCTTGTTCATGTGGCCCGGCAGCTTGGTCTCGGACGGCTCGGGCTCGTTGTTGAAGTCCATGTGCCCGGCCTTGATGTTAGCCAGCATAAAGCTGGCTTCGCTCGGGTGGGACTCGAAGTAGCCCATGAGCTCGCTCAGAATCTGAGCCTGGCCCTGCCTCTGCTGCAAGGCGATCGCCTCTCGGACCTGAACCTTCTCCTTGTCCTCCTGACGGGCCTTCTTGGCCGCCGCTGCCTCCGCCTTCTTGCCCTTCTTCGGCGGCATCTCGGGCAGGCGGAGCTCGGGCAGACGCAAGAGCTCGGAGGACTCGGGAGGTCAGGTCTCGGGCGGTTGTGCCCGAAAGTGCAGATCAGGGCTCGGGCGGTTTTGCCCGAAAGTGCAGATCAGAGTTGGGGCACCTTTGCCCGATGCAGACCAGAGCTCGGGCACCTTTGCCCGAAAATACAGACCAGAGCTCGGGCACCTTTGCCCGAAAATGCAGACCAGAGCTCGGGCAGCTTTGCCCGAAAGTGCAAATCAGAGCTCGGGCACCTTTGCCCGAAAGTGAAGATCAGAGCTCGGGCACCTTTGCCCGAAAGTGAAGATCAGAGCTCGGGCACCTTTGCCCAGATGAGGATATGGTCCCGGGTCTCCAGGTCAGATCTCCTGCAATTCCCCAGAACTGCAGGATTGTCCGCGAGGAGGCTTCCTAAACAATTGTTTGTTTACTGATTGTTGAATGTTGTATGAAATGTCTAATGTAGCTGCTGGCCTTTGCTCGCTGCTGGCCTTGCTTGAATTGCAGTGAATCCTCGGCTTCTGTCTGTACCTGATGCATAACATTATTATTATAGTGGCTGCCTGCCTGTGCAGTAATTGAATCTTGCATTCGCATCCTCGTCTGCTCCCTCTCTTCTAATTTTGAGCTGGCGACAGCTTCCTGGAATGCAGAGTATCGCTCGGAAAATCGTGCAGGTTGCTTTCAAGCAGCAAGTTCCAATGGATTTCTGGTCTCATGCCTGCAACCGCTGCAACTGGATCTGTGCCTAGAGCCTCAGAACTGCAAAGCCTGGCCTCTAGACAAGTGCTCCTCGGGCCTGCGAAATGAAAGAACCGTCTCGAACATGTCCTAGCTGACGGCCGTTACATGTCAATCCTGTACTGAACCGTTCCCTCTTCACGTGCGAAGCGACTCTTTTTTGCTGCTGCACCTCGGACGACTGCCCCTCGGACGAAGCATCTACCCTTGCGGATGCTTTCCCAAAAAACGGTGCCTGATCGGCGTCCTCGGGGCTTCGTCGGCCTCGCTGGCCTGACTCGCAGCGGCGACCTGGTGCCTCACTCGGACGTGCTCGGCATAGGTCTCGGCCAGGTCTCGGCCCTCAAGCCACACCCACTCGGGCAGGGTCTCGACACATCGTCTGTTGGTGTACCCCCAGACCACAGCCTGCGACACCCAGTCCCGGACCGTCTCGTGCCACCTCAGCTGCCTCTCCAGTTGAGTGATCTTCACCCTGGCCCGCCGCAGCTCATCCCGGGCAAGCCGCAGCTCCTCCTCGGGCGAGACAGCAGCCTCCTCGGGCGAAGCAGCAGCGATAGGCTGGGCCGGCACATCCTCGGTTGGATCTTCCTGCTGTCAAGAACTCAGCAGAAGATTTATGTGGGCAACCTGCTGTGGTTTGATTTCCCGATCGCGGCGAAGACTTCTACAGGATGTACATGTCTTAAAATGGCCGGTCAGAGTCTGAACTACGCCTGTCCGAGGGTGAGTACGACTATGTTAGAGTCCTCAGGTACCTGATGATTCTCATGGAAGACTCTCTGTCATTTCTTATCCCTGCTCGGTCCTCTTCGGCCTCTTCCTCCGCCTCTTCCGCCTCCTCGGCCGCAGGGTCCTCGCTGTCTGACGAGAGAGCCATGCCGTCCTGGTCCGCTGGCCTGCCCCGGTGCTTTATCTTCTTCTTGTCGGCCTTCTTCTTCTTCTTCGCCTTCTTCTTCTCGGCCGCCGACTTTTTTCCTCTCTTGTACAGCTTCTGCAGGATCTTCCTACGCTCTTCGGGCGTTTTTGCAGCGGCCACCTCTGCATGGTCTCCATACCGAGACTTGACTCGGCCGCGGCTCTCCTTACGTTTGAGCTCGTACATCTTCCCGAGCTTCTTCCGCCGATCAGCAGGAGACATGTCCTCGGACACTTCTGCAGCATATTTTGTGCTGAACCTCTTCTCGGCCTTCTTCTTCGGAGCCGCCTCCACCAAGGCCATCTGAGGCAATGCAGTAAGTGCTCGGACGAGGACTCAGACACTACGTGACTACGAGTCGGACTGCCAGTCAACGCTCGGACTACTTTCGGACTTGCCTTCAATGTAGGGAACCTTACAACCTCAGGTGCTGGGGCTACTTTTGGGACTTGCATTCAAGGAACCTTCCAGACTCAGGTGCAGGGAGAAAGTTGTTGTGCTTAGATATGTTGCCTCTCACTGGCTCTACTGCATGCTGCTAAGCAAATCCACGGCCGGGTTGAGTTCTAAATTGGACTACTCTTGGGAGTTGATGTCTGCAGGAGCGCTTTGGCAGAAAGTCCTCTGCTGCAATTACAAATGTCTTGCTCGGCTTCTTCAACTAACTGCAGGCCATGCCCAAGAAACACTTGCAGGACGGGAAAGCAAGAGAGGGGCACTCGCTCGGAAGCAGCCGAATCGTCGAAGCCGCATCGCCGTCGCTTCGGTCCGGCCTGAGCAGTCAGAACGGCAGGAAAAGGCTGGCAGGCTAGCTGCGAAAAGCCCTGACCAGGAAGGACCCCGCGAAGGCCCTGCGAAGGCACACCCCCTTCGACCGCAGGCCTGCGAACCCCGACTGCCGGGGGGTTCGGCGAGCTTCGGCGAACCCCTCTCTTTCTCTCTCTCTTAATAGGCAAAGAAGAGCCCCGCGAAGCCCCGCGAAGCCCCGCGAAGGGCTGCGAACCCCTCCCTCGGAGCCTTCGGCGACCAGCCCTCTGCGAACGCTTTGGCCCTTCGGCTCGAACCTCTGCGAACCCTTGCTCCAGCCCCTTCGGCGACCCTCTGCGAACCCTTCGTCCGGATTGCAAGAACACCTCCCTTGTTTGCGACCTCTCCAGGCTACGGATGCCTCGGCTTCTCCCTCTTATGCCAAGAATTCCGTGCGGCTGGCTAGATACTAGGATAGTCAATCTTGCTCGTGTGTTGCACTTTTTTCCAGTGTCTGAGTTTCAGACTCAGCAGCTCGGTCGAAGACGATTCCGCGGCATCTCGGGCACCTCATGTGTAGAATGCTCCTACACGATGTGTCCTCTCTTGGGTTTAGGGTCTAGGGCCTAGGGAGTGACACGGACTTGGTAAATTGCTCCTACACTAATTAATGTCTCCTCCCTTGGGTTTAGGGTGTAGGGCCTAGGGCAAAGGGACGAACTCGGGCTTTGTTAAATTTAAAATGCTCCTACACTATTTAAAAATGTGTCCTTTCTTGGGTTAAGGGTGTAGGACCTAGGGCTTAAGTACAAACTCCGGCTTGTAAATTGCTCCTACAGTAGTGTGTCCTTTTTTGGCTTTAGGGTGTAGAGCCCAGGGCTTAGGAACAAACTCGGGCTTTGTAAAATGCTCACACACTACTTACTCATGTGTCCTCTCTTGGGTTTAGGCTGTAGGACCTAGGGCTTAGGGACAAACTCGGGCTTTGTACAATGCTCCTACACTAAAAACTAATGTGTCCTCGGTGGGCTTTAGGGTGTAGGGACAAGGGCTTCGGGACAGACTCGGGCTTTGTAAATAATATGCTCCTACACTAACTCTCTTGGGTTTAAAGTCTGGGACCTAGGGCTTAGGGACAAACACGGGCTTTGTAAATTGCTCCTACACTAATTAATGTGTCCTCCCTTGGGTTTAGGGTGTAGGACCTACGGCCTAGGGAGAAACTCGGGCTGTGTAAAAAATGGTCGTAAAATAATTACTACTGTGTCCTGTCTTGGGTTTAGGGTGTAGGGCCCAGGGCTTAGGGACAAACTCGGGCTTTCTACTTGTAAACTGCTCCTAGAGTAAGTTAATTTCTGTGTCCTGTCTTTGCTTCATGGTCTAGGGCCTAGGGCTTAGGGACAAAGACCTTCGTGGCTGAATGCCAGCAGTGTCCAGAAAGCCTATGTTATACAGCATTAGAGACAAAGGCTAGCTCTTGAATTATCCGTCTCGAACAAGTACTCGGACGTGCTTCTGCTTGCAGACCCCGACTAGATGATATGATTCGGGCAGACTGACTGGGGTGGGCTGAAGCCTTATTCCAAAAAGGCACTTATCCTAGTCTAGCCTGCACAAACCCGCAAGCATGAGGATCTCCGCCAGGAAGTGCCACTCCGATGTCTGGACCGAGCCCCCGCTGTGCTGCGACTGCTGTGTTGGTTGTTGGAAGAGGGATGCCTTGCCGTGATGGCAGTTGTGCTGGCATGTCGCATGGGGCAGTGGTGCTGAAAGGTGCCATTCCTGCCGCGGCTTGCTCCAGAGCTCAAGCTCTCGTCGTCAAGGAGCGGCGGCGATGTGCCCGAGTAGTAGACGCCGCTGGTGGTCGTCAAAGCCCTACGGCGCTCGAAGCCGCTGGAGGCGAGCTACTCGCCAGGTGGTACGCTCGGCGATGGCTTCCTTGAGATTCTGCACTTTCCGCCCACACCGGACGCTGGCCGAGTGCGCCGAACTCCGAGTTGACGTCGGCCTTGGCCTACAGCAGCATGCCGACCACCTCCTGATGGCCTTCCTCGCAACAAAGCCTAGACTTGACACCAATGCCGACAAAGCGACCTAGTGCTCAAGGGTCCGAAACAACAGCCCAAGTGTGGCCGAGGAATACAGGCAGCCCCAAGCAAAGGATAAGTAGATGGGAGTGTTTAGGGTGCCAGGTCTATTGCTTAGGTTCCTTACTTCGGCGAATCATCCCTGGATCTGCGGCCTGAACCCCGCTAGCCTGGTCGACGTCACAGCCGAAGGCTTCTTTCTCCTGACCAGGGCAGTTGTCAATACTGTCGGTTTCTATTTTGGAAAACGCTCGGGTGCTTGAAGGCGGAGAATGGGGGATATGGAAGAGAAGATTGAGGCTGCAGCACCTTTGTCATGCTGTCGCATGGTTAAATTAGAGGATGGATTGCCGGAGACATCTCTATGTTCATTGGATATGGACCAGGAATCCACTATGTACGGTCTTGCTGGAATTCCTGTTCTACTGGAAGAGTACAAGAGTTGTTTTTTTTCATGCCTGATACACCAGTAGCAATAGGAATGGAACTAGCAGGAGTACTGCTGCTACAAGGATTAGAGCATCTCGAGTACGACAAGTTGTACTGCTCAAACTAAGAAAACTTAAAACTACCACGAGTCGCACCACCCTTACCAGCAGCAGCAGGAATAGCACTACTACCACCAGGACAACGAGCAGCACCGCTGACGGATTTGTGGTCTTATTTTACTATGTGTCAAACTTCCACGCAATCACGCCGCAGATTTTGGTTCTGTAATACGGTACGACGTGGTTGGGTAATGCTGCTTCTGTGAAAATTAGCCAAGTTGTAATTTATTACTGTTATTTTTTACTCTTACTGCGAATACGAAGGCAATTGAAGTCTTCGCAAACACAAAGAAAACTTCGCTTATTGTTTAAAACGCATAACTATGATGATTTTTGTTTTGTTTAGTATTCTTCTGTTTGACTATTCAACGCAGTTCCTGCGCCGATTCAGCTCTCCACGCAGTGACGGCGCAGAGCTTGCTCCACGCAGTCACGGCGCAGAGCTGGGTCCACGCAGTGACTGCGCAGCAGTTGGTGGCAGCATGAATTACATCTATATTAAACAGCACTTAGTATGAATAATTGTAATAGTACTTAATTAATACAACTGATTTAAATTTAATACAACAACTACTACTAGAAATACTACTACTAGAATTAATACTTGTAGTACTAGTATTACTACTATAATAAAACTCATTGTAGTAGTACTGTCACTAGCACTTGTACTAGTACTAATACTAGCAGTAATACTAATACTAACAATAATAATTATCAAGTAATGCTGAATGCTACTAGTAGTTGCCGTAATAGTAGTAATAATAATAATCGTAACAATAGTTATAAAACTACTTGTACTACTATATCTATTCATAGTAATGGCATCCAATTATTTATTGCTGCTGTATGACTAGTAGTACTATTACAAACACTTGTAATGGTACTTTGGTACTGATGCACGATTAATACAAGTACTACTACTACCAGTGCTGCTACTAATATTTAGTGCTACTACTACTATAACTATTACTAATAATAAGATTCCTACTACTAATAATTATTTCATATTACTATTAATGCTACTAGCACTCGTAGCAATGCGAGAAATGATAATAATTTAAGTGCTAGCAATACTTCTAGCAATACTCATATTCTTAGAACTCATATCCGAATTAATATTATTAGAAATATTAATTAAGTAATAATAATTTAATTATTTCATATTATTTTAATTACAGGATTCCACGCAGTGCCTGCGCCGACCAGCATCTCCACGCAGTCACGGCGCAGAGGGGCCTCCACGCAGTCACGGCGCAGAGGGGCTTCCACGCAGTCACGGCGCAGAGCTGTCTGGTCACGTATTATTCAAAGTTACAAGAACCTTGCTATGCGGCTCTACATCCAAACTTGTAACATAAGCTTCGCATGCCTGACAATTCTGAACTCCAACCTGCAGCAAGGGCCTCGGACGTGTTTCGGCTCGGATGGCACCAGGCTGCTGTCCCGCCTCAGATTCGACAGAGCTTGGACTGAAACTACTCCTGCTCCGTTCTTGTCGAGGACTTGAATTCAAGGATACCTCTCGGACGACTTCTGCCTGCTGCTGCTTCTCTGTCTGTCTCATTTTTATTGGCAGAGACTCCCCAATCCGGAAGAAACCCCATCAGAACCATCCGAGAAATCCAAGGACGACAACGCTGGGTGCCTCGCGACGGGTCTGCATTGGGCATGCCGTCACCTGCGACCAGGTCAAATCAAAGTCTGTGACCGCTGAAGGTGTCAAGAACAAGCACTTCCTGCAAGCTGCACGGGTCCTTTTTTCGCCGCAAGTGGCGAACGGCGCTTATTCGGATGCAAGATGCAGCGGCTATGCCGACTGCACAAAAGCCGTGCCTTCACGGAGGCAAAAGAGATTTTGCACTCGGGCGACTGATTTATGATGATTGATGAGCTTGTTTCTGTAGAATGCTTGCATATGCAT